GGGGAAGAGACAGAAATCTTTAATTAATTAATAAAGAAATAAATTAAAAAAAGAATATAAAAAATAATATTAGACTGAAATATCTGGAAAATAAAAGAATGGAAGGAATGGAAATAAAATAAAAGGTTATAATTAATGAATTTATTTTACCTCTCCCCATTCGTAGGAGCCAATGTTGCCCCAAGTCGTTCCTCCCCATGAGCAGAAAACAATGGTACGCTCTGGTCTCCATCCTTTCTTCACTCTTAACATCAAGGCTTGGATAAATGCTGTGATGACTGCCGTACTGCTGGCCCATTCCTGTCCATTATATCCGTATCCAGCATGGTGGTTATTGCCAACTATAACATACCGGTCTGGAAATAGAATGAAACAGGAATTATTAAAACAAAATGTAAACTTCAACAATAAGTTTAATGACATTTACATAAGTCTATTGTACAAGTAAGAACCAATTGAGCCAAATTGTTCTGATAATTAATACCACGTTAGCATTTTCCACCATTTTTCTTGATTCTTATGTCTGGGATATCAATGCAGAAACAGCAGCTAAAGTCATTTATGAATCCAAAGTTTAGGTCCATATTACTGTTCTTTGCAACATGAATATTAGTTAATTAAGTTTACAATATACCACAATGAAACTCTTATCTATCATTTTGGCATCATGGTGGGAAGTGCACAACAATGTTTGTGTGTGCTTAGTGAATAACAATGAGCTATTAACACATCTGAAAAAAAGTATCTTAGGAGCCATATATATTAAAAAATTTGCTAGTCATGTATAGACTGTAAAAAGAATAGGTATATAGGGATATACTTTTTTATTTTATCCTTCTAACCCTTCTCCATTCTCTGAAAAAAAAATCGAACACCATCAAGCCAGGACCATTGATAATTTAACTTTCCACATGTTTTATTTCTTGTGGTCACATACAATTCCTTAGATGTTCCTATAGAAAACTTTCCACGACTCATGGATATGGTCCTTCTAGTGTGGTTCACTGACTATACACATAGTTAAAGGAGGATCAAAATATAGCTCCTGAGAGTCCTCTTAATTTTTCCCTTCTTTTTTTTTTTTTTTTGTTGTTCTTTGTTTTACTTTGTTTTGTTTTGGTCAATGTATGTTATCCACAAAATCAAGAGAGTTCACATTATTTGATCAAGTAACCCTATATATTTATGAAAAAGCACTCTCATTATTGTTTGATTAGGTGATTTTTCCATGTAACTATACAGGCAAGTGTGCCTTTTAAATTTTAACCTCTCTGTGTAAAACACAAAAAAAGTAACTAACAATACATCATTCCATCATTTAAATTAATTTATTATTTATGAGTTACTTTGAACAGTATCTGGCATAAAGTAGGTCCTACATCTAAATGAATTAAATGGATCACCCTTGACTACACAAGGAAAGATTGTTCAAAAATTTGTAATGATATAGAATCATTTAGCTTTCAATTCTGAATTGGAACCAGCAATGAATTTAAATCTTTCACCACTGTATTTATACCTAAAAGGATCTAAAACTACATGTAACATTATATCAGCATATATTCAAATATTTAACTCTTGGACATTTTTCCCTTATCTATCAGAAACATCTGAAAGTTCTCTTTGAGCTGAACTATATCCTAAATAAATTAATAATCAATCAATCAATCTGAACTATAGCATCCATAAATAAGAAATACTTGTGAATAAACAATATTTTTATTTTATTCACATGGAAGCTCTACCTCAACTTGATATGCCAGACTTTGTTGACTCCCCTTGAGAGGCTTTGCCCTATCTGAGGAGTGGATGGGGGTGGGATGGGGGAAAGGTGCAGGGGAGTGGAAGGAGGGAAGGAGGGGGAACTGTGGTTGGTGTATAAAATAAATAAATTTTAAAATAAAAAATAAATTCATAATGAGCAATATTTGAAAATTTGTGCATGCAAAACTTCTTTTGGTAGGTTAAAATTTCATTACCATAGATCTGGTACACTTTTTGTATAACTTTGTTTTCTTGTGAGGAGTTACAAGTGGAAAAGCTTGTACTTTCTCATACTTGTAAATTCTCATACTTCAATTGGACTTGGTTATAATAAAAGCCACTGAAATACGTGAGATACAGTCAGATGGATTTCTAAATTTATTTGTGGCTGTGTCTAAGGATACTGCGATGACAGGTTGTACAATAAAAGAACCATGGAGAATAAATACATTGCATGAAAATTTTAAGAGCTGGATGTCAAGGAATAGGGAAAAATTAAACTTGATTTCAAAATTCTCTGGGTCAGCAATTAGGTTTAGTGTTATAAAGAATATTTCTCCAAGGAGTGATAAGTAGGTATCCAACTCAAATCCACAGAAGTGATTTGAGTGCAATAAAACCTTACTGCTGCTCTGGGAATGGCAGATTGGCTGGATGTGTTAATGAACTTCACCCAAATGCCCAGAGATCTGAGGTCAGTCTCTGCAGTCTGTGATGGAAGGAGAGGAGTAATTCCTGAAAGTTGTCCTCTGACACTCAGATGCCCACGATGGCACTACCATGCCCATCTTCTTTCTCACACATGTGTATAATAAATAAATACTTAATAAAATGAAAACAGTAGTAAACTGCACATGCTTTGCTGTCATTCGGTGAACTGGGATCCAGCCGTGTGATGAACCAGAGTGTGCTGGCATTAGTCAGCTAACTGGTCATGTAGCAACTACCGTTATTTTTAATTTTTAGACTGACCATTACATCAACAGTTCAAAGGAAGGTATAGTTATTTAACACCTAACAAAATAATCATTTCCATAAAAAGACCTTTCAAACCCAAAATCACGTAGCCATTGGGAGAAACTATGAGTGGATGACCTTTCACATGCAAAAGAACAAACACTGAGAGGAATTATGAGTAGAAGATATATTAAGGTTGTGACGGAGAATAGCATTAAAAGCTTCTGTTTTGAGACCCAAATTTGATTTGCTTTCAACAACTGCATCACCTATGATAATTTTTTAAAGTATTTTGTCATTGAACTGAAATTTTCCATACTACCAAGGTAAGAAAATAAGAAAAGTATAACATTTTAGCCGGGCGGTGGTGGCGCACGCCTTTAATCCCAGCACTCGGGAGGCAGAGGCAGGCGGATCTCTGTGAGTTCGAGACCAGCCTGGTCTACAAGAGCTAGTTCCAGGACAGGCTCCAAAACCACAAAGAAACCCTGTCTCGAAAAACCAAAAAAAAAAAAAAAAAAAAAAAAAAAAAGTATAACATTTTGATTTCTATTTCACTTTAACAAATATAAACTTCCCTCTTGTCTCCTTTCCTGGCCTTTACACTCTCCTATATGTCACACTCTCTGATACCCTGCCTGCTAATGCTGATTTCTGATGACGCTGTAGGAAAGAAAGGAAAACATATTTTAAACTTTTATATAAATTTTCTTTTAGTCACCTAAACCTCCAGTTACATATAAAATAGGATACTGAATTCCATTTTTAAATTATCTTCGAAAATAGAACACTTTGGTCATTTTATATGAATTAGGAACTAGATTATAACTACTTAAGCCAACTTACCTGGTGATGTCCAGCCTCTTAGATACCCAACAACATTAGTGACTGGTTTAAATTCCGTGACTGTCTGCACTTGCAAACTGACAGTTCTTTTTTCTGTTTAAAGAAAAGAAATTAAAAGAACTTATTGATATTGTTGTGTTTCCCTAAAAACATTAGAAATTTTTATGTAGTAAATATAACTCCACATGATTTACTTTTTTCAAATAGCTAAAGTTACACTTTAGTTGCCAAATAAGATTATTTTTATGCTGACTCTATTTTAGGGATTTATCCTGCTATGGTCACCATGACACAAATGCCACCTTCCTGCTCTGAAAGCTGTGAAGTGACACCCTGAATCTCACATTTGTTCCAGCACTGGGTCCAACACAGGAAGCTTCTGGGGGATTGAGAATGTTACAGCTTGTAAAAAAAGAGAGGGAAAAAAAAAGGCATATACAAGTATTTCTGTGAATGTTAATATTCTTTATTATAATCTAATGATATTTATTAATGTTAGAAAAGGAGGTTAAGACACTTTCTCCAAGTGATTCGCTATCATATCATCATTGAAAACTTTACATAAAATAGTTTACAAGTATTATTCCTATTTTTTCAATTTTTATTGACTTTTATTGAGCTCTATATTTTCCTCTGCCCCCATCTGCCTCTCCCCCTCCCCACTTCAACCCTCCCCCAAGGTTCCCATGTTCCCAATTTACTAAGGAGAGCTTTTTTTTTTTCTATTTTCCATGTATATTAGCTCTATGTAAGTCTCTCTTAGTGTCCTCATTGTGGTCTAAGTTCTCTGGGATTGTGGTTTGTAGGTTAGTTTTCTTTGATTTATGTTTAAAAATTACCTGTGATTGAGTACATGTGATAGTTGTCTTTCTGTGTCTGGGTTACCTCCCTCAAAATAATGTATTCTAGCTCTATCCATTTTCCTGCAAAATTCAAGATGTCATTATTTTTTCCTTCTATGTAGTACTCCATTGTGTAAATGTACCACATTTTCCTTGTCCATTCTTTTGTCTAGGTGCATTTAGGTTGTTTCCAGGTTCTGGCTATGACAAACAATTGTGCTATGAACATAGTTGAGCACATATCCTTGTGGCACAATTGAGCATCCCTTTGGATATATATCCCAAAGTGGTATTACTGGGTCTGGAGGAAGGTTTATCTAATTTTCTGAGAAATCATCACACTGACATGCAGAGGGGTTGTACCAGCTTGCATTCCCACCAGCAATGCAGGAGTGTTCCCCTTTCCCCACAACCTCTCCAGCATAAGTTGTCATCAATGTTTTTGATCTTGGCCATTCTTACAGGTGTAAGATGGAATCTCAGAGTTGTTTTGATTTACATTTCTTTGATGACTAAGAGTGTTAAACATTTCCTTAAGTGTCTTTCAGCTATTTTAGATTCCCCTGTTGAGAGTTCTCTGTTTGGGTCTGTACTCTATTTTTTTTTTTTTTTATTTATTGGATTATGTGAGTTTGAGGCCAGTTTTGTCTACAATAGCTACTTCCAGGACAGGCACCAAAGCTACAGGAAAACCCAGTCTCAAAAAAACCACAACCCTCACCCATAAAAAAGGTCAAAATTTAGAACACTTCCCTATAAACCCAGCTGCACAAACATTGAGAGAAACAATTAATAAATGGGACCTCCTGAAACTGAAAAGCTTCTGTAAAGCAAAGGACATGGTCAACAAGACAAAACAACAGCCTACAGAATGGGAAAACATCTTCACTAACCCCACAACAGACAGAGGCCTGATCACCAAAATATACAAAGAACTCAAGAAATTGGTCACAAAATGTACACATAATCCAATAAAAATGGAGTATTATTACTATTTAATATTAAAGCATATTTTCATATAATAGAATCTATTTTCATAGGTTATATAATAAACCCTACTAATTTCTCTACTTATTTTTTAAAATTTATTTGCATTAATATTTTGCTTGCATGTGTTTCTGTGTTCCATTTGTGTGTCATCAGGAGAGGACATTAAATCCCTAGGGACAGGAGTTAGTGATTTTGGGTTTGTTGTTTTGCTTGGTTTAGCATGAAAGCATTTCCTTGGGGCAGGCGAACTGGCCCAGCAGGCAAAGCAGTTTCTTCCTAAGCTGATGTTCTCAGTTCCATACCTGGGACCCACATGGTGGAAGGAGAGAAATGAGTTCACGAAGATATCCTATGGCCTTCATGCATGTATCATGACTCTTATGTGCCACTACCAACAAAAAATAAGGGTAATAAAAAATTTCATTAAATGCTAGAAAACTTTCTTATTTTAATTATAGGTAATTCGCATGCTCTTCAAACACATAAAACAATGAAATTTGATTTTTTTTCAGGTTGATAGCTTTGATCCTGGTCTGAGACTGTGGAAACAAATTGTCATTATATAATTTATGGTGTAGTTCATCTTATTACAGCTTTATTCTACAGATTTTTAATACATATTCATTTATTTATGGCCTTACAGGTGTGTTTCAGTTTCATATGAACTTTAATACTAAAGTTTTAAGCTTCATGATTTTCTATTTTTGTTTTTCCATTAATATTGCATATTAGCCCTAGCCCTGTCTGAGGGAATGATACCCATTCTTTAGTACAGACACATGGTACACTTCCTAGCTGATTTCACTTGCCTATGTCTGTCAACAAAGTTTTATATTTTCTCCTCAAGAGTTTCAACTATTATTGAATTTATTTTATTATTTTATATCTTTTTTCTAATAATTTACATTGCATACAAGAATGCCATTTATTTTTATACTTTTGATTTATAATAAATTTTCATGCTAATCTTCAAAATGTTGCAGTTAATTTATCCATAAGGTTCTTTTTCATCTACAAATTTAATTGGTTCTTTATGAATTTCACATTAAGTACTCTAATCCAACTCATTTCCAAGTCCTGTGTCTGTTCTCCACCATTATAGCATTTACCCCCTTCAAAGAAATCGATCTAAAAAATGACTTCACTCCTCCATCTTTCCCTCTTCTCCATCACATATTCTAATGTAGTAGATTTGGGAGCTTCAGGGTGTCACGCCATATACTATTTTGCTCAAACAACTTTCCTTACAAATGTTTATTGCAGTGATTATTGGTTCTGGTTCAAGGCCTCTCTCTGGCTTCTGCTACGTTGGAACCTCAGTGAGACTCTTCTTGGCTGTTCTGCTATTGCCCCGAGTCGTCAAGATCCTGGGACTATGGTTCTGCCAGACCAGTCTCTTCATGCACTCCAGCAGTCACAGAAGGGTTAGATGTTGTGATGGGCCAACTCGAAGCCCTGGTTATGGACCTGGATAGTAGCTGTGCTGGTAAGCCCAGACCTCCACTAGGACAGCCTCCCTCCACCCCCTCCAAAAGCAGAGCCAGCTCTCCCTTGCCCTTGCCATTGGTACCAACTCTCCCATGAGGGTTGGGACCAGCACTCCCAGGGCCAGTGAGGGCAGCACCAGCTCTGCAAGGCTCTTACACATCAACATGGCCTCAGGTAGCAGTCCAGACCACAGGCATGCTCATGGTTCTTGGTGAAAACATAGGCCACCGACACCATCATCAACACAGATGCAGTAGGACCATGGACCCAGACATGCTCTTTGGAAGCAGCACTGGCCTTGGCACCACCATGGACTCTGGTGGCAATACATGCTTTTCACATTAGTCTGTATCTCCCCTGTTGACACATCTCCAGTTCTGCCTCTCTTCACAGCATCTGAACTGCTCTCTTTCTCTGTCTCTCACATCTCCACACACCATTCTTGCTTTTTGTAGTGACATCCATTCTGCCTGGTCCACGCATCACCATGACAGACTGGGCCCATGGCCTCTCAGTTACTTTGGTTCTTAATTTTGGTAGTTTTCCATAAAGACAACTCCTTTTCACTTTTTTATGTGTGTATGTATGAGTGTCTGTTTGTGTACATGTATGTGCACACCTGTGTGTGTGCACACCTGTGTGTGTGCATATGTGCAAAGCAGAGGTTGATAACAGGTGACATATGATATTATGCTCTATTGTTCTCCTATTTATTGATTTTCATCTGCCTGAGTCTGAGGCATGAGTGTGTATTTTGTGTGCGTCTGTATGTTCTTGTGTCTTTTTGTCTGTCAGTCTATGCGTGTGAACATACTTGTGTGTGCCTGAATGTGGAGGCCTGATGTTGATATCAAGAATCTCTCTTGATCATTGTCTACTTTATTCATTTAGGCAAGTTGTCTCAAAGGATTGTATAGTTTCATTATATGGTTTGTTTCACCAGCCAGTTTGCTCTATGCATGCAAAAACCAGGTATTTTTAGTAAGTTGATATGCCCAATCTGCTCTTACTTGGCTTCTGAGAATAAAATCTCCATTCTTCACACTTATATGGCAAGTATTTGGTCACTGAGCTATCTCTCCAGTACTCCTTTCATTGCTGAGCCACCTTCCTGTCCTCCCTTTAATTTCAGACAAGGTCTTTCACTAACCTCCAACTCAGCAACTAGCTAGTCAAGCTGGCAAACAAGACCAAGTGATCCTGCTATCGCTGCCTCCCAAGGCTGAGATCACAGATATCCCCCACTGAGTTGTCTGCTTAACCTTGCTTCCTACTAGCAACTTATTATTTTGTCCTGGAGCCCAGGCATAGAAAACAGGCAAAAACAGTCTTCTTTGATCTTTACCATTTATTATTAACTTAAGCAGAATATTTTTTTTTAACATTTTATATTTTAAAACATTCTTGATATATGTTTCTGGGAAATTCCTTTTATCAAATTAAGAAATTCACTGCTAGTTTTATTTTGCTAAGAGGTTTTCCCATAAGCAGATGTTGAGTCATCTGTAGAAACAGCTGGAAGCTTTCCCTTCACAGTGTTTACATGTATGTGCATTCTTGGAATGAACTAAACTGTCCAGACATGCCCTATGCTTAATGATATTTTCACACACAAAACATACATATACATGTGTAAACAAATATTTCATAACTTTATATCTCCTTTTCCTAGATTACTTTTGTTATGTGGACTATACAAACTCCCACATATTTTAAGGGCCTTTTATTCCTCTTACAGTTTCTATAAGATTATGAAAAATGCATAATTTCACT